TTTAAACCCACTGAAAGTTGCCACATCCATTTTAATTCAGGTTTCTGGGGCTACTTATTTAAACCCTCCACATGTCCCATACACAGCCACAAGCCAGCTGCTCTGACAACTAAGAAATAAGAAACGTGCCTTGAGTTCCTGTGGCATTTTCTATTCCAAACTTTGCCCAGTGGCTGATGGTTCCTTCCTCAAAGTGACATATTGATTGTGGGTACACGTAGGGCGAGTATGATTGTGTTCAGTATTTTGAGCTCATCATCTGTTATCCCATTCTCATTGTCATCTGAGGCCCAGACACTATCAAATTGGAAGCAGCAGCGTAGAAAATTAGGAACAAATCAAAACAGACTACAGCTGTGAAATGAATCAAACTCCTGTTTCTACCTTTAGCATTTCCTTTGGTAGAAAACACCTTTTACAGTGTATTTTTTGATTATTTGGAGCTCACAGCTACAAAGGCAGGGATGAAGCGCTGCGATCCAGCATCTGGGGCCGTTTGCCAAACAGAGCAGTCACGTACTAAAACGTGATGAAGACAGAGAAGGACAGGTCCCCAAGGGCAGCACCTACTTAGGGCTGGTCCTTGACCCATTTTGACCACCCGAAGGACGTGCCACTGCTGCAGTGGCTCATCCGTAGACATCCCATCTCCCACAGGAGAACGGCACCCACCAAAAACTCTTGTGTGTTTGCAGCTCTTGACCTTGTCCCTGTGCATTTGCTGCGTCTGAAGTGGAGTGATGGGGTTAGAAAAGCTCAAGGCCGAGCTCCATGTCAGCTTTTCAGAGCAGCCCCTCGGCGCACTAACGCTGTTCCCTGAGAGCAGGCTTTAAATACGTTGTGTGTTTGTATGAAGATGACCACATTAAATTGAAGCAGAAATAAATGGCAATTTAGCTGGCACAGATACACAAAGCTGACACAATCTCCAAACGTTTGAGGCTGCTATTAAATTTGTTCCTCCTTATTAATTTGTGACCAAAAGGATAATGAAAAACTGGCAGTTCTGAAGTTGACATAAAAAGTAAGAGATATACAGTTGGCATGGATAATTTTATGCGCTGTCAAAGCGAAAAGGCTTTGCTAAATGTATGTAGGCAAAGATACACACAGTCATCTTAATGAGCAATTAAAAGATGGACTCCTAATAATTGCATCATGACTCTTGTCACATTTGTATTTGTTTAATATCTCTGGTTGTGGCTGAATCTGGTTTTGAGTCCCTATTTTAATCAGGTCTGATTTAGGCTCTTGGTTCAAATAACTGGAAGTGATGAGCGTGAATCTTGTTGTCCTATTACTCCCTGCGCTTCTCGTTTCCAGTGAATACAATGTTCCTTTAAAAACTCATGTTTAATTACTGTGTTTAGCTATCAAAGGGGGCAAGTGGGTGATTTGCTGTCATTCAAAGTTGGAGTTTTCAAAGAGAAAACCTTGTCTTCCTCTTCTGAACATCGCTCTTACCAGGTTTTGGAAGTGCTTTGGATAGCTCGGGTGGTTTCCAGTTATTTCCTTTGCTGGTTGAAATCAGGGAGGCTCGGCTATGTGCGTTGCTCTGTCGTGGTGGTGCTGTTCTTTATTTACAACAAGAGAGGACCATCTGTTCTTCAAAGCTCTTTCCCTTACCCTAACTGCTGTGGTCACCCTTGAATGCCGCTGTATCTTCAGTGACATGGAGCTGCCTTCCCGAGCTGTTTGAAATTTCCCATCAATCCAACTGAAATTTCCCATCAATTCAATTCCCATTCAAACCGACTGAGGTCGCATCAGTCAAAGCTGACAGCAGGTTGCATGTTTCCAGCTCCTCTCTCCGATGTACATGAGTATGGGACAGGCCCACGTCTCTCTTCACAGCCCTCTGATCTGCCCGTGTCATATTGAACACATTGTCACTTGCAGCTTCCATTCCTCCAAACTTCCAGGGTTTTCTTGCTTTCACATATCTTTTTAACTGAGGGAAGGGGGAGCTGCTTCAGTCTCATTTCAGTGAACAGGTTATCCTGTGTTTTCATGAAGAAACAATACAGCTGCAGGCTTGTTTTCCCCCTTTCTCTGTATAAGAATCTTCTGCTCCTCAAGTCTGTCTTTAAAATCATCCATTTTTCTTTTCCTTCTCACTCCAGTCACTGTTTTTTTTGGCTTCTCCAATTCCCAGCTCAAAAGAAAGCAACAATTATTTTGCTTCAAACTCATCCAGCCCTGAAGATGAGGAATTTACCAGTTTTTCATTGCCAGCCTGCTCAGTTTATTGCTCCTGCTGTTTGCTTTGCCCAGCCTGTGCGGGTGAGTGAAGCAGTGTAGAGGGGAACAGCAAAGCTCCCATAGCATCCTTTCGAAAACACCCCTTGGGATGCACTAGGATACCACTGGGATTTGGAAGGGTCTTAGGACAGATTGAAAGCGTTTGAGCTGGCTGGAGGGTGCAAGGAGGGTGCCTGCCATTTGCTTTTAATCACACACTGGTTTGGGTGTGAAGAGACCTTAAAGCTCATCCAGTCCCAACCCTCTGCCGTGGTCAGGGACACCTTCCACTGGAGCAGGTTGCTCCAAGCCCCTGTATCCAACCTGGCCTTGAGCACTGCCAGGGATGGAAGAGCTTTACGCTCCTTATTGAGGTGTCAAGATGCATGGCATGAAGGCGGCAGGTCAAGCCCTTCTGGGGTCACACAGAAGCACGGCAGCTCCAGCCTGAGCAGTCAGAACTCTGTCAGTGATGTAAAATGAGCAAAATGCGCCTGTTGCTACCAATGTATCACGGCAGGTATCACCCAGCAAGCTGGTGGTGATGGAGAAACATGATTGCCTCCTGGCTCCCGATCCTTATCCTCCAGCCTGCCTGGATAGAAACAAACAGGCAGTGCAAATACTTCAGATGCCTACCAATGCATCTCATGTTTATGCCTGTCTTTAAGACATACAGAGAGATTCTTAAATACTTCGAATTGACAGCACAGACCTATTTCCACAGAATGAATGATGTTGGTAAGTGGCAAGGTTTTTCTTCCTTCCCTTTGGGAAATGGGGAAGAGTTGTCTCCACTGAAATGATTCCCGATTTCTTCCCTCAGGGAAAAGATCTCATTGAAGATAATGCGTTTGTCTCCGATTAGGTTTCAGCTTGATTCTTTTAAAACCTCAGACCTCTCAAACCGATGGGCCAGCTGTGAAATACACACTCATTTCTTCTCTTAGGATGCAGTGAATACTCCCTGCTTTATTCCATTTGTGACTTCAGTTTTGAATCCAAACCTTAAATCAGCCAATTCAGATCATTTCCTGCCCAAAGAAGGAAAACCAGAGAAAAGAAACACTCCAAGGGTCCCCACAAGCCTTTGTTTGGCTATAATAAGCTCTGTATTTCAGAGGTGCTGTGTTGAACAGGGCAGAACGAGGCAGCATTCCAGTATCTGAAGGGGGCTATAGTGATGCTGGGGAGGGACTCCGCATTAGGGACTGCAGTGACAGGACAAGGGGTAACGGGTTCAAACTGAAACAGGGGAAGTTTAGATTGGATCTAAGGAGGAAATTCTTTCCTGTGAGGGTGCTGAGGCACTGGAATGGGTTGCCCAGGGAGGTTGTGAATGCTCCATCCCTGGCAGTGTTCAAGGCCAGGTTGGACAGAGCCTTGGGTGCCATGGTTTAGTGTGAGGTGTCCCTGCCCATGGCAGGGGGGTTGGAACTGGATGATCTTCAGGTCCTTTCCAACCCTAGCTATTCTATGATTCTGTGAACTAAAGGTGTGACAGATTCTGTTGAGCCAACCTGTGTGACCACTGGTGTTACCTGCAAAGAAAATAAGGAATACAAAAGAATTGATTTCTTTTATATATAATTTTTTAAAAAAGAAAGCTTATTGTCATGGGGGAGCCTCTTCTGCAACCCCCTGCTTAATTCTGTGCAATGATTTTTCAATAAGAACATTTCCTTCTGGGCTAGACCCTGTTTCTTGAGGTAGCCTCTGCCTTTTCAAACACCCAGACTAGGGGTTTCCTGTCCTTTCCATGCTAAAGCCAATGACAAATTCCATTCAAATCAGGAGGATTCAGCTGAATTATAGCTTCCTTATAGGAAGAAACACCAACAATTTGTGTGTTTTCTCGGGTCGTTTAGATCACTCATCCCCTGGGTCAAATGCTGGGGTTACATCCATTGCCTGTGGGTATGTCCAGTTTGTGCCTCACCCTTCTCACAGCCTTTGAAGCCAAACACCCAAGTCCCCTTTGTCCTTCTCCCGTAAACATCCAGCCCTTTTTTAAAGGATAAATGAGAAATTGTTATATTGACTTTTATCATCCTTCCTGTTTGAAATCAGACGCGATGGTGAAGGGTAGGGAGGATGAACGAAAGCACGAATGAACGAAAGGCAGCGTTTGCCTCTCTGTCGGACCAGGGGGCTGTGAAAACGAGACATCTTCGATGTGGGGAGCCCTCAGAGGTGGGCTGTGGGGAAAACTCGGTTCCCCGTGGGGTCACCCCGCACCGTGCACGGCAGCGGCCTCGTGTCGCCCAGTCCCGGAGCAGCTCCGTCGCTGCGGCTCTCACGGGCATAGGGGGGTGTGTGTGTGTGTGTGAGATCGAGGGGTGCCCACCCCCTCGGGGGTGTTTGCGCTGCGCTCCCAGCCGCGCACCTCCGGCACACACATACAGGGATGCTCCAACGGGGACCCCGAGCCCCACCGTGTCCCTGCCGCGCTGCCCGCACCCCCAGCGCTGCCTCGACGACGCCCCCCCCACTTGCCCCGAGGGGGCGGTCCCGCCGTCCCCGCACAGGTGTTGGCGATTGGGTGGAATATGCAAATGCGGCGCTGACGTCAGGCGGCTCCGGCCCAGAGAGCACAAATAGGGCCGGCCCCGGCCCGCGCCGCGGACTCAGCCTCTTCCGTGCCCGTCCGGGCCCCTCCGAGCCGCCCCGCTCCCGGCCCCAGGTGAGTGCCGCGGGGCAGCGCTCCCCGCCCCGGGCTCTGCTGCACCGAGGGGCTCCGCTGCCGCTCCGCGCCCTGCGGACCGGAGCGCTGCCGTCCCCGCCCGGGCTGCGGGGAGCGCGCCCGTGGGAACCGCGCTGCTTTCCGCTCCGCGAGTGAGCGCAGCGCTCGGGGCTCCGGATGCCGCCGCTGCAGCCGCCTCCCGCGGACTCCCCCATCCGGGCGCGGTAACAGGTGGGCGCCCGCCGTGGGGCGGGGAGGGACGGACGGGCTTAGGGGGATGCCGCCTCTCCCCCCCCCCCATCCCGACTGGGGGAGCAATAGGTGGAAATGCCGCCCGTGGGGCGGACGCGGCTCCAGCCCCTTGGATGCGGAGGGCAGCGCGGGGGTCGCCCCTTTTACCCCCGCCTTTGCCGGGGCCGTGGCGCTGCCGCCGTCGGTGGGGCACGGAGCCGGGCGGCGCGTCCCGCCGCGGTCGCGAGGCGCCGGCTTTTCCCTCCGCTACCGCTGGGGGGCGCCGTGGTGCAGGCGGCCGTGCCCGCGGGGCGCCCGTCGGACCCCACTGCGCGCCCCGGTCCGTGGGCAGCGGCAGCGGCAAGCGGTGGTGCTTTGTTTGATCAGATACGTTAATTTATGGGATGCTTTAGTTTATGGGATGCTTTAGTTTGTCGGAGGTACCGCGCTCCTTCCCGGCTGGCCTCACATGCTGCTGCGGCGTGGAAATAAACGGCTTTCCCGTGGTGCCAACGGGAGGGATGGTTGGGACTTCTGTAAGCATAACCTGAGAGCAGAGCTGTGATTGAAACGCACAAGAGTCACGGAGGCAGCCTTGAGAGCAAAGATTAATACCTGTGAGGTTTAGGGGCTTCTTGGCAGTCCTTCATCCCTGCTGGATTGGTGTTCCCTGCGTTTCTTGTAGGAGCATTGAAGTGGTTTGGAGAATTGAAAGATCAAGTGAAATGTGCTTAAATATGCTTTTGCTCAAATGGAATATCTGGTTTGTACTTAAACATCACAGTTGGTTCCAGTGAGTTCTTAATGCATCAAAACTTGGAGTAATTTGTCTAGGATACTGGGGAGAGCTGGTGGAATTGTTTGGCTTCCTTATGTCTTGCTGAAAGGTTAGCTTCAAAAGGATTTTTCTCCTTAATTTTGTCGCACTTGTAGCACTCAATAAGAAGTTATCATCATCAGAATTATTTTACAGGTCATAAAAGTGCTGTTTAGACAAGGCTGAAGCAGTTGAAACAGTTGATGGCAGAGGAACTGAGGACCAGATTCTTACCTGATGCTACAAGAGCTGGTTTGACAGAGTGAAGGGTTTGGTCTGAAAGCTTTCCTCTTGCTGTAGCAGCAGCCATAACTTCAGGTAATTGAGTTCAACCTTTTTCATTCTAATGCGAGGCTTGTTGGAGATCACTAAAGGCTGTTGTGAGCTAGTAATTTCCCTAAGCTAAAAATAAGCTGCAATTTAAGTAGCCCCCAAACCAACCCAAATAAAAGCTTTTGGCAAATTCTTTCCTTTTATTAGCCACCATAACCGAATTCTTAATGCTTCTGTATCATGGGGGAAAAAGTTATGGGATCTTTACAGTAATCTGCCTGCTTGGCAGCTCCTATTGCATGTCATGGAAGTGCTTTAAACAGTTTTCTCCACTCAAATGGGCAAGGTCCTGTTTCTGTTCCAAGGTGACCCTTTTTGCTTAAAACATTTACTCTAAACCTTGTGCTTGTGTCTTTGGCAGTGGGATGCTGCCAGTCTGTGTGTTTGGGTGCTGTGTGCAGGAGCCTTTGTGCTTGAGCTTCCTCAGATAAAAAAATGCTTTTGGGAGGTAAAGCGGCGCTGGCTGCAAGGAGGGCTGTAACAGTGCTCTAGCTCAGAGGAAGAAACCCCAGCCTGTAGGTGAACTCTTAGTCTTTGCATAGTATCATCTTTGACCTAAGAGCCAAAACTGCTTTGGCAATCACTCCCCTGAAGCTGAAGGAAACGTGTCACAAATGGATGTGATGCTCAGCTTTGCTTCCCAGCATCTGCATTGCAATCCCCAGTTTCTGCATTACAGGGCAGATTAAACTCTGCTTCCTTGCTCGTGCAGTAAGGTCAGGAGGTGTGTGATAGGTCCCCCCTCCACCCCAGCTCTTGGGAGACCTCTAGGCTTCAGCCGCCAATATTGCTCATTTGTTTCTTGAGTGGAATTACTTGTTTTATGCAGACGTTGCCATGTGTGTGATTTACCTGGGCAGTGCTGTCTGTGCAGGCTCCAAATCTGTCCCTTCTTCAGGTGAAGAGAGGAAATGGGGTACTAAAACTCCTCTGAGTTTACAGCGGTGGTCCAGATCTGTTCCATCAGTTAGACTCTTTCTCTTGACTCTGGTAGCTGTATGGTGTGATGCAGCTGCAGACCAGGTTCTGCAATGAGCCTTCCTCCTAGCTCAGGTTAAGGCGATGCTGAGCTGTGGTTTAGGATGCCGAGTAGCATGAAAATGCTGTATGATTTCAGGCTTAACCCTCACTTGGTATTTACAGTGTACATTTGTTGCTTGGTTTAGGCTATTCAGATATATAACGTGTTTTAGTGCATCCCCTTTTACAGCGAGTGATTGCAATTAGTGTACTGTCAGTCAGCATGCAATAAAAGTAAGCAATTTCTAAACTGACTAGAGAAAGATGTTCTACAAATCCCATTTATAAACCAGCCAGAGTTTTCTAGTGGTAGAGGCTGCCCTTTCAGCTTCATTGGTGTTATAATCATCCTAATCCAAACACCATCACGTTTTCAAGCAGTTGGTTATTTACTAAATACACATGAAAGTAGCTGGTCCCTAGTTGTGCGGTAGGATTGCCATTTCAAGCAGGGTACGAGTCAGAGGTCTCTGGAACTGCAAAGTGAAAGAGTTGTTTGCTGTGAGGGTGTCAACGGAGCATACAAAATACCTCCATAAAAACCACGAGGAGCAGCCTTGCTGTGCGGGAGCGATTCGTAACATAACAATGTACTTGTCACTTATTGATAGAGTGACTCTGGGTTATTAAACATTTATTTGTAGCCCCAGCAACACTGAGCTTTCTAATTGGAATTTAGAAAGCCTAATAAATGTTGATTTCATCCTGAGTGCTCTCAATTCAGGGTGTTTATATGAGCGCTGGGGAAAAGCAGTGCCTGGGCTGCATGGGCATGTGGTGATGCTGTGTTAGGCAGACAAAGTACCTGAGACCGAGTTGGAGCTGGTGTAAATGGTCATGGCTCCAAAATGAATAGTGATGCAGCTGCACACATACCTGGCGTGAAAACACTGTAAAATGAGTCCTGTCAAGATATAAGGTATGCCATGGGGACTTAATTAATCTAGGTTTAATTTTGACGTTAGCAGGTAACTTGCCTTGCTAATGTATATAGCTCAAACCAAGCAGCAGCTTGTCACTTGCATGCTGTAGAAATCATAGGATCCCAGACTGGTTTGGGTTGAAAGGACCTTAAAGCTCATCCAGTCCCAAGTCCCTGCCATGGGCAGGGACATCTTCCACTGGAGCAGGTTGCTCCAAGCCCCATCCAACCTGGCCTTGAGGATTTCCAGGGATGGGCCATGCAAGTCTTCATGGGTTCTGTGGCCATCTAAAGGAGGAAATGGCTATTCTTGTGTCTTGGGGCTCAGCTCGGACCCTGGCTGGTCTTGCAAACTCAAGTGTAGCCTAATGAGGGGGCATCTGCTTGAGACAGTGGCATCTTCCGAGTGAGGGGAATAAGGATATTTCTATGGTTTCTCCAGTGGTCAAAGAAGCGAATGGAGGTGCCTGGGGCTTTCCTGAAGGTCTGCTGAGAATGAGTCCTCAGTAGGAGCGACCCTGTGCTGCTGGGGGTTCTGGAGATGGGATAAAGTAATCCTTTAGCCTTCTCGGTGCCACAGTACCACGTTTTGCTGTGGTTTGCTTTTGGATACTGTAGTTAGATTCAGAAATCCCAGGGCTCTGTTTCTGCGGGTGCTTTGTGGCAGAAGACTGGGAACAACGCGTCCTGTGGGGGTTAGTTTTGGGGTAAGTGTTTCACAAAGATGCTGTAATGTGGGAATTCATTGCCAGAGCACTGATGAGTGCAAGGCAGGAAGATGAGCGTTTTGCTGCGTGTTCTTTGGGAGTCTGCAGAGCTCCATTGACACTGCCCTAGCGTGGATGGGCTCCATCACCTGGAGCTTCGGCCTTGTTACTGAATCTGAGCTGGGTTTTGTTGTGCAATGACTGCTTTCTGACTGTTCTCTTGTTTTCAACAGACGTGAAATGATGAGATCAAGAAGCTTTTGGTTGTCTCTTGTATTGCTTGGGGTTTCCCTGCTGCTCACGAGGGGATGGATGGCTGAAGACAGGAGCAGAAGGCTGTATTTGGATGCGGGGAGATCGCATCAAGAGGTACTGTACACCCGCTGCTGCTGCAGTTACAACTCCTGTGCTTCTAGTTTTGTGCTCTTTGTACTGTGAAAACAGAAAATAAGTGAGGGCTTATCCATGTATTAAACTAAGGAGGTCAGTGAAGAAACAGTGAATCAGCAGCTCCTACACTTACTGAGTATACTTGATATCATTCTGGGAGGGAAACTGCCACGGTGGAGATGCTGGGTTTGTCCCAAAGACGTTATGGTACCGCTCTGTCGTGGGCTGGGGACCTCTGTTACCTGCTCTGTCCCCTGTTGGGACCAGTGATACTAAATGAAACAGGCAAACTTGTCCTGGCTCTTCATTTGGGTCACTGGCCCTTCAAGTAAGACCTGGAAAAAGCCTAAAAAAGGGGCTTTTTTTTGCTGCTTAGAAAAAGGAAAATGGAGCCATAGGTGGTTCTGAGAGAACCAGCGAAGTTACTGCGGGATTGTTTCCCTCCTGACCCTCTGATGTTGAACCTCTGCAAAGTGCAAAGTAATTGGAAAGGGACCAAGAGCCATATCGAGGGATGGGGATCTTTGTCCAGCTGAAGAGGACCCTGATGGGATGGTAGGACTCCTCACGCAGAACAGTAATGCACTCCTCAGCGTTCCATCCCTGGGCTTATGAGAGTGGAGAAGCAGCTGTTTTGAGTGCCGAAGGTGACAGTGTTGGCTTTTGTTACAGTGGTGTGGATTAAACAGGTCCCCATTCTGATCGGTGTCCAGTGTGGGCTGTCCCAATGGGGATGGTGGCTTTCTGGACCAGAGCTCACCGTGTGCCTTGCTGCACAGATGTGGGTAGGCTCAGATTTCGAAGTCTGAGGCATGCAAATCAGGCTATAAAAATCTGGGAATGTGACTTTCATGGAAAGAAAACAATGAATGCTGGAACGATTTTAGCTATTTAATTAGTTCCTGATTATCATAGGTTTGTTAAATGATTGCTCAAATGCCTGGAAGTGGGAGGTGACGGGGGAGGCAAGGGATAGGAGACACTGCTATTTTTTAGCTGCCATTGCCTACAACACTTACGTACTGGCAGACACATTAGTCAGTGCCAGGCTAATGATAAGCTCTTGATGGATTCATGCTGCAATTGGATCTATTTAAGCCTCAGGATTTTGTTCTAGTTGGAGAATCTCATTTCTCCCAGTCACATCCCATCTACAAATACCCGCAGTTGTGTGCGTTAGTTCAATAAGGCAGTTTAAGCCAATTAAGAAGATGCTTTTTGCTGCTTACCAGGACTCGGCTATCATTTCAGTGGAGCTGGAGGTCTGCAGCTCCAAGTTCTGGCTCAAGTGTACTTCTTCCTTGAAATATCCGTCCTCTGCTCTGTAGAAGTGAGGAATAGCAGCTCCCCTCCACACCTCCGCTGTTATTTCGTTGCTGTGTATACTCAGGTAGTACACTGGAACTCTTGTACTCTCTTAGATCACTTTTGCTTTATGAAAAGCAACCAAATATTTTGCATGCTTTTGCATTCAGAAGGATCTCGTTCTGCACTAATCATAGAATCATAGAATAGTTAGGGTTGGAAAGGACCTTAAGATCATCCAGTTCCAACCCCCCTGCCGTGGGCAGGGACACCTCACAGTAAACCATGGCACCCAAGGCTCTGTCCAACCTGGCCTTGAACACTGCCAGGGATGGAGCATTCACAACCTCCCTGGGCAACCCATTCCAGTGCCTCACCACCCTCACAGGAAAGAATTTCCTCCTTATATCCAATCTAAACTTCCCCTGTTTCAGTTTTAACCCGTAACCCCTTGTCCTGTCACTACAGTCCCTAATGAAGAGTCCCTCCCCAGCATCCCTATAGGCCCTCTTCAGATACTATGTATTGGTTTTGATTTTTTTGAAGGCATTACTCTGTGGAATTAATTCCATTACTCCAATGATCTGCTCAAACAAGAACTGTAGAACTATTATATTTGAAAGACACTAATTCATTCTATCTTCCTCTGAAAAAGCATGAAGTGATTGTACCAATTACTTGATCTTGCTGGAGGTGAAAAGGTCGAAGGTAGAAATGCATTTGTTCAGATTTGCACAGAATTTAGCATTAAGGTTTCTAATGTTCAGAGAATGCAGTTGAAATGGCTTCAAGGGATGTAAGTTATAATGTAGATTTGAAAGGGAACTGTACAGAAAGCTTGTTCCACAAGCTTGGTTACGGAAGGGTACAAAACGCCAGGATGAATCTGGAAGCCCTGAACAGAGCTTTTGGGTATGTCAGTGGAATTGAGATCCCCTTTTGAGAGGAAAGCAGCAGTTCTTACGTTATCATTCAGGAAATAGCTTAGCCATGATACCTTTTTAATAATACAGCATCACCTGAGATCATCTTCTAGTGACATTGGCCTTTGTTCAGGTGGCAGCTCCTTATTCCTGAGGAGCTGGTTACCAGCGTTGTGGTTTGATTAATACACAGCTCCATTAGCACGTGTTTGAACCATTGAATCACAAATAGAACAGCTCCTGGCAAGGCACTGAAATTGCTTTAAAAATGTGTAAAGGGTTAATTTCCGCGTCAAATAATTTGACGGGTGCTCTGATCTTGAATTCCTCAGAACTTCATCAAAGCAAGCACTTGGGCATGGGTCACTGACCTTCACTGATACTTGTTGTGATCTACATAGGAGCAAGTTTATGGCATCAAAACCACTGCTTAATTTATGTTGTGATTGCTAAATCGATTTCATCATGGTCTGCGATGGAATTATTGCACTTGTGCTTTGCATTCATAATGGGAAAATGAGTCTTGAGGCCATAGACTGCAATGTACAGCCCTTCTGGCTGATAAAATGACTCTCTAACACACAAATGGCATGTAAATAGGATGATTTCTTGATGATCAGCCTTCCATCTCTCAAATTTATGGGGTGTTCCAGAGAAAATCAGGACTATTTTTAGTCCTGATTAGAATAGTAAACACGTGCCTGCAGTCTGGAGTGCCATGGGTGTAGAATGAACTGCAATGGAAAACCTAATTAAAACAGGGACAATGTTAGGATTTCACCTGCAGCTTGCCTGGTTTGTATTAATGTTTTAGAACGCTGCTGTCACTTTTATGTTATGAGACTTCCCATGGGCTGCTTCCAGAGGGAGCTGGAAAGCTCTGGAAGCTCCTGAGTGCTGTGCATGGGTTTGTGTGGAGCTGGGTTTGAACCATCATGGGAGTAAATCCTGCTGGGAGGTATGGATGCCAAAGACCAAGGCTTGTTTTTGTGCTAATGGATGTTAAACCCCTCAGTTTTAAAAGTACCATAACTTTCTAACTGGCATTTGGAAGGTATTGGCTGTGTAGGTTATCCATCATCTGACCTCTTCGTTAGGTAGGGCTTGGAGGTTTTAAGCAGCTGAAACCCACAGCTGGTTATTTCAAGGAGCAGAGGAGTCATGGGGATGATTTTGTGCTCCTTCCCCCAGCAAGTGTTATTTCCTAATGTGACAGGCTAGGAAAGGAGGGCTTTGGGAGGCAAGGTGGGAAATTGCAAATGCATCTGATGAAAGCTTTTGCTTCTAATGCGACTAGAAGCATGATTTCAGAGCGTGAGCTTGCAGTGAGACAGGCACAGTGCATCACTTTTATATGCAGGAGAAGATCTAATATCCTGGTATTTATTTAAAGAATTATTATTAGTAATGTATTCTCTGCCATGTGTGTGCTCTTCCTGCTTGTACGTCAGTTTGGAGAAAGGAAGGAAAGGACAGGACCAGATTTGAATTCAAATCTATGCTGGGCTATAGCCTGCTCCTGTCATACACATTAGTGAAGGTAAAAGGAGGCAAGACTTAAATTTATGCTTTCATCACTTCGGTGTGTAATGATAATCCCCTCCTTGTTACCTGCATTGATGTGGTATCTCTAGCAAGCTGTAATTGCTGTTTGTAGACCATTCTAAATCTTAACTAGTGTGCTATCCCTGAAGCCTTTGCTCTGAGCGCTGGTTGTCAGAGTATCTGCAGTTCAAGGGGCTGGGGAATGTTTTCATAGTATTGGGATAAAACCCCGCTTACCCCCTCCCAAATACCCCAGAGGGTTTAATGAATGCTATATCTTAAGGGATGGTACCCAGAAGGTTTAATAAATGCTATAGCTGTGGGATGCTGTTATGCTTGAAGTACTAGAAAAGTTGAATATTGGGTTCCTTGGAACAAAGCAGGTACTGTGTACCTGACTAACAGCATCAAGTTAGAAGGCTTTTAGGTTATGTTCATGGATGTGGCTCACTAATAAGTATTGGAGATTGTCAGGACACACCTATAGCACAACTTAAAAGGTGAAAACCTCTTGTATGCAGCCCCTTACAGAACCAGAATCCTGGTTCCTGTTATTGTTTTTAAGCTTATGGCAAGATGCAGTGTGTGACACCACTCTATGGTCCTGCATTGCTTTCTAGGATCTATCACCTTCCACTTAACAGCAGCCAGGACTACCAGGTGCTGTCCCTGCAGTTTAGGTGGTGCCCTGGGTACTAATGACCTTGAATTCGCGTGCTGTGGCTGGCACTTGGATGCTGTTCCTTGGGGAGAGCAGGGACCATGTGGCATAAACTGACCCCAGGAACCACATCTCAGTAAGTTTTTCCTCCTGTCACAGTTGAGTAGCTGTGGAAAAAATCATACTTAAATGGGGGAATGCTGGTGTATTCCTGAAGCAGGGAATAAGACCAGGGTAAAACATCTTGTACATAAATCTAAGGCAGTTCTGACTTGGCTATGGTGTGGTTCTGATGCTCTCTTCAGGAGCTACTTAACCTTAAAAGACTAAATATTGACTAATTGTTTTCCAAATGTAGCATACTCTCCCTTAAAAGCTGTCAGGGTAGTTTTAGAAGGGAGATAGTTCTACTTCAAGTACTTTCTACATAAAGCAGGGGAGTTTTTGCTTAATTCAATTAGGAAGCGTACATCTGCAAACCTGTGGTTTCCAAAATGGGCATCCCAGGAGCTTCCCTGTGGCAGTGTGGAAACTGATGGAGCTGT